TAATCAAGCCTCCTCTTGCTCGGTGGTACTTCTCGTTCTCCCTCCTATCCAACAGCCAAAAGTGGTATCCATTTAATGTCCTATACTCATTCTTTCTATTATGTTTTGTTGATTCCTATTGCCTACCTAATGCTTTGCTTACTGGTATAGTCCCATATCCAGATAAACGTGTGGATTTAGACTTATATATTCGGTGTCCTGTGCGAGCCACAGACCCTTTTGAGGTTGTTTTCTATTCAGATAACCTCTTATGTATAGGCCTATAGGTCTGCCACGTAAGCGCTATCGCATAAATACAAAATTTTGTAACAACTCTATCTTGATAGATGGTGCGAGTATTCTCAAAAGTGAGTCTATATCTAAGTTTGTAAGTATTATTACTGACCCTTTGCTTAACTTCGTGCTCATTAAAATATCTGCGTGTTAGTCTGGTTTGGACTACATGGCCTGTATGGTGTCGTCTACAGGAATGTTAGTGTACATTGACCCAACCTCAAAACTTACCGGTGAATCTTCACTGTCTATCTCCTGCTCATCGACTAAGTTAACGAACTCATAAGAATTATTTACTGAAACCTTTACTTTAATTCACAATAATTCTGACTAGCCTTTGTGCATTTTGTTCATACAATATGCATTCGGAGGCCTGGCATCTCATTGAAGCAGTATTCATCTCCAGTTCCCCGTTTGCTACCCAATACTGCAGTCAACCCCTGAATCTAGACTTAAGGGTTTCTGTAGGGTCTTTATGTATTACCTTGCATGTGGTGGTGTTATTCAAAATCTACATTGTTTTTTTTATAGGTCAACCCAGTCATAACTACCACTGCTGCTCCCGTGTAATTGGATCGGATATTTCCCAAATAGCCGAACGCATTGCACGGACTGGCTTCTCTTACTCGACAGAAAGGCTGGTTGCACATGATGAACATACAAAAAACGCGAGATATAAGAGGCCGTTGATATTATTGTTGACTGAAATCTACTGAACAGGAGACTTGAAAAAGGCAGGATTAGCGAAAACTTTGCATACTGCCTAAGCAAACTCGGATAAGGATAAATTTCGAACCCGTGGAACCAGCACGGCCACAGAAGAACCACCAAAAATCAAGAGGAGCCGTCTACAGTGGGCCTAGTCAAAACAAGTAGAGCCACAACATTTGGGCGTCGGCACACAAGAGACTTGGCATAGAAAGTCATAGACTTGGCATTATGGATAGAAGAAAGATAGATTCGGCGAGACTAGTGATAGTTGGCTAAAAGTTTTATCTACTTAGCTAACGTAATTGGCAGCGATGTACAAATTTGGCAAACAACCGAACATTGCAATTTTACGATTCCACCCTTGCTTTCGCCATTGTTAGGGTTGTGATTTGCTGCCCCATTGCTTTTATGCTTATTCTGAAAGCCAATTCGTCTTTTGCAGTTTACAATAATGTTGCCTTAAAATAGTTTTTTTTACCATCAAAGCATTATGAATGCCTGAACTTTATATTTTGTAAATCTTTTTTAAGGTGATAAATACTCTCCGTGACGTGCTTCAAATTTCATAAGTGCCGCTAATGAGTCTCAAGCGTGGTCAGAACGGCAGATCGTTGTGAACGAGTATGCTTTTTGAAAGGAGGTCAAGTAAAATGTAACAGCATCGTGACGCTTCCTACCCAATCCTTTCTGGATTATTCAACTATCAGTCCCAAAATCACCCATTTATTAATTACATATTGATAGTTCCGAGGATAAATATGGCTAACTCGTGACCCCAGTGTTAACCTAAATAATGCTCCAAGTCCATGTTAAAGGTAAAAAAAATATCTACAGATTCCTGTGCCAATTTAAAGCCCCCCTGACCTAACTAGTAGAAAAGGTTGGGACGACGATAAGTTATAACAAGTCGGCGAAGAACATTTCAAAGGTAGATATAAAGGTTGCCTGATAGAGAGCAAGTAGTCAGCTGCGAAGGTGGGCCTATGCTCTCCTTGTCGTCGATTGTGATTGCATTAATGCACCCATATTTCAATTATTCACACACTAAACCTAGATCAAAAGTAGTGAGTAAAATTATTGGTTGTCTTTTCCACACTACTCATTAAAAGTGGAAGTAGCATGTACTTATGAAAAGTCGGAGAAATAATATTCGATTAGCTTCTCGCTGATACTCCAGTCATTAGTTTGTGCAAGATAAAAACTCATTTGGTGATCGTCGAGTGCTATTGAGCTTCGTCGACTTCGTTGAGATTTCTCAGGGTGGCGTGAGTTTTAATGTAAAGTCCCCTTTTTATCTATTTTACCTAATTTTGCTGTATGTATCATGGACAAAGCCATAGGATAGCCTATAAATTTAGTTTGTTTTTTGGCATACAAACATCTGGCTAACATGACTGGCATTAAATTTGAGAAGATTTTATTCCTAAGAGCTGTCTTATCGACATTCCAATGGTGAATTGTAAATTCGCTTTCATTCACAAAACAAAACAGACTACTCTACAAGTTGAGAATTTAAAAAAAAACAAGAATAACCATGTATACATATCCTGAATTACCTACAATAAAAGGAGGTTGCGTGTATACAAATACTGACAAACAGTTGAACGAAATGGAGGCATGAAAGTATGTGGGCGAATATTTATCAAGGAAAGGCAGTCTTCCCCGTTGTTTCGACGCCAGGACTGCCGTGGAGGCTGTAAGGTCAGTAAGTCTGCAACATTCACGCAAATTCCAAGACTTATTGCGGACCTATATTCAAAAAATAAAGGAATCATTTAGAATTAATAGAATATTAGATGAAAAAGGATTTGTTTTAATGAGATTGAAAAAGTAAAAATTAGCAAAGAGTTTGCCTAACTTTCAAATATCTGATTCATAAAGTATGATTGCCCCTTAGAGGTACGAGGGATGCTACAGCAAAACCAAGGATATGCCAATTGAAATGTCAAAGGTTACGAAAAATTGAGTGCTAGATGGGATAATTCACTTATATACAATTATAAGTGGAGTTTCAAGACCCATCTCAGATAATTCATTTAATCTAAAGTAGTTCCCAGTTTGGGATATAGAGTCAGCATCATACACGTACATGAAAGCATAAATTACATAAAAATTCTAGATTTTAGTCTCAATTCATGCATTTACAACATGCTAAATACTTGATTCTCACTCAGTGCATTGGGATAGTTGTAATGTCTTTAGCTCTAATCTTTCACCTTTTGATATATGAAGAGAAGCTGGGATCCACATTTTAATATTTCGACGTATCAGGCCCGCATCAAACGTACAATTTTAGATATACGCCTGCCTTTTGTGTCGTAGAAAGACCACGAAAAAGTCCCAGTTTTTGTCGTGGCCCTCTTCATAAAATAAATGGTCTATGCATAATATTAAACTTTTAACGAATTCGAATTTGCTTTCGGCCAGAGGCTTTGCATCAGGTGTACGTCCCAATTCTGCTTCCATGGCTACATAAATTTAAAGCTCCTCTTATTTACAAACATCGCCGGAGTGGCACCCATTTATGAGAACAAAATATCGGATGCAAACTATCTTCAAAGTTGAAATAGGAAAACCTTGCAGACTATGGCTTAGGCCCGAAGCACAGCGGTCCTAACCTCAAGCACATGTAAATAAAATTATTTGAGCGAAAAGATAAGATGGCCTTCCTTTAAGATTATCCCCAACATTATGTCAAACGGTTCTCAACAAGTAAACACAGTCTGCATAATATTTTTCACCGGAAAAATAAAAAAGAAGAATTTATCCACAGCATATTGATGCATCCACGATAATATTAGAAGACGAAATTGCATATACATAAGAGATGCAGTCGGCATATAGCAAGCTATTATTCCCATTATATCCTAAAAAACACTTATGAACCATACAAATAGAACGCATAAAAAACAAGATTGTGTGGCTTCTATTTGGTCGGGTCGCCTTTCTTTGTATTTTTGGGTATGTGTTGCCATGGCTACAGAGATGAATAAACCTTGTCCAGTCATGATCATTTTCACCTTCGACGCATTGACAATGCAGGCGAAACGTCTGGGAGTACCAATTCCATAGTCATCACTATGACAGATGACTGTAGACAAAGTGTGCTCACCTGACAACACATACAACTACTTCAACAAAAAACAATTAAGCCTTAAGGCTAGTTACTGAATAGGTTTTGGAGAAAATGAGAAAGTGAAATGTCACTTCTCACCTCGAACTGAAGACCATTAAGTTTAGGCTTTGAAGAAATTTCACCCGAGTTTACCTCGAAACAACCGCTGTGCTTTCAGAAGAATGTCACACCCGTTGCACAGCGCATGGTGTAAACCGAGCTGGCGAGGCGGAATTAGAAACCGTCGGACAGAATTGGAAGACACCGGTTGTGTTGTTAAGGCCTGGGCTCAGGCTTAGATAGGGCTGCTGATCCAATGGTGGCATACTCAAGTGAGTCGCCGGTATCCTCTCCGTCGGCAGCAGGGGAGTATTCAAGCTGCAGTTGCTATTCTGCAACTCAGTTGTGAGGAGAGAGCCGTCAGGAAAATTGGGAAGCTAAAAAATGTCAAATTAAAAAAGACCCTAACAATAAAAAAAGGTATAAAGAATAAGAGTTATATGTGATTAATCAAAAAAAGGATGATAAAAGTGTGAAAAGGAGCAAAGAAGAGTGAAAATAATGTAACTAAGACAAACGTATAGTGGAAGGAATTAAGCTGAAAAGGAAAGATGCATGTGAAAGACAAAATAAAATGGAGCATT